TGGATTATTCAATGAATCCTCCTGGGGCCGCAACCGACCACCACCACTGACCATCGTAGATCTGAATCGCGCATGGTGACTAATAGATTTTGCCACACGAAACACCTAAATATCCATCTATATTGGTTAAGTACATGGTGAAAGTGAAAGATTGAAACATATACAGACTCTAAATTAAGTGAAAAAAAACCTGCTCAGAAAGTTCCCTCGTGGGACAAAGTACAACGGCTCTAGGGCACCAGGGCTTCGTTAGCATACCTAATAAGGCCTCATCTTGTCTCATCAACTGCAAAATCAAAGAAATAAGATTTAGTTAATGAAAATTCTAATCCCCAAAACATGGAACTAATTCTTTTTAGTTCATTGCAGAAAAGATAAATCTTCCAAGGCTGTGTTGGGAAAAATCCACAATTTCATTATTCTAATTCTACGTAGAATTCAATTTGAAGTAAAATGTTACTATTTTTTACTAAAACTTAAATCCTTCTGCGTGTTTTTACAAATGAATTTCACAAACTTTCTACATTTGTTATGAACATAACCCAAGTATAAACTTAAGCAAAAAGAATAAGGTGCATAATTAACTCCCACGACTCAGAAGAACGAGCAACCATCTCTAGACCTCAAAATGCCATTGACCAACAAATCGAATTACAGGAGAAATCCTAAATACCACTAGAAAAAGTAACTAAATCAATCAACGGAAAAATAATGAAATAAAGAAATGAAAACAAAAAAAAAAAGAGTACCTGAACGAGAGGTAACATGTAAGCAAGAGTCTTGCCGGAACCAGTATGAGAACCCAATACCACACTCTTCCCCTCCAAAACAGCAGGGATCCCAATACACTGTATCTCCGTAGGTATCTCAATATTCATCTCTCTTACAGCCCCCATCACCTCATTACCTAATCCCAACTCCTCAAAACTCCCAGCCAACCTCTTCTTCTTCTTATTCTTATTCTCACTCTCCTCAGCGGCAGCCACCGGTGACTGAAGCAGGGACTTGGCCTGTGGCGTTTTCGCAGAGTCCTTGAGGTGCCTAAGTCTCAGCCTTTCAAGGAGGATCGAGTGCTTCATTTGGTCCGGTTCCAGGATTGCTTCCGGTGTTTCGGTTGTCATAGCTGCCGGCACGGAGCATAGTGGCCTAAACCCTCGCAAAACCCTAGTAGAGGTGGGTTTTGGGAGTCTGAAAAATGGAGAGCAAGGGTGATGTTTGGACAAAGAGGAAAGCGAGAGGAAAAGAATTGTTCTTGATGTTACTCCCATGGCCATTTGCATTTTTCTTTTGTGCAATTTGTCAGTTGAGGTGCAGCTGCAGCAATTTCATGTTGGGGTTTATCTGCGATTTGCAGTCGATGATGCGTTGGGTTATGATAAGTTCACCGGATTGTGACAGGTTTTGGGTCACAGAAGTCCTGATTGGCCCAAATAGTAATAAACATTTCAATTTTCTTTTATTTTAAATAAATACGTTAAATATAATATTATATATTTAATTTTGGTAATTCAGAAAAAATATATATATTTATGTTCGA